CCCATTAGTTTCACCTAAGTTTCATTGAAAAATCATCTTTAGGGAATTTTTACTGCCTAGTCAAAGCCGAGTGACTTTTTTCTTTGGCAAGCGGTCGTTTAGAGCTCGATTACTTCGAACCGATGGGAGACACAGTTTAGAAATTTTCGAAAAAGTCGACTCTATAAACCGTGTGAGTGTGACTCGGTGAATTTGTGTGAATTTTTTAAAATTGAGCGATTTTACCCGTTGCAAATGTTCCTCTGGGACTCACTTTGGCACTGAAACCCCTGGCTAAAAGTTGAAACTGCTTGCACAATATGCGCGAAGGAGTTGCACGGTCAAGCCATCAGCACCATCATCTTTTTTTAACAAATTTCGAAGCTTTTTTGAAAATAAACTGACGCACAACCGCAAAAGGTCTACACTCTACCCAAAAACGTTGGCTCTATCGATTTTCCATTGTCATTTGCTGGCTTACCGAACGTCGAAGATTTGGATGTAGAAGCGGCTTGATGATGGCCAACATGTTCACAAGCAAACTGGGCGCATTGATGACATGAATTTCCTTCAGTCGGATCGAGTAGGCCTCCTTAAGGATGGTCATGATGGTGTTGAAGTGTGGGCCCAAGTACTGGGCGACGTGGGCGGCGGAAAAGTGCGCCCCATCAAAAATGGCGATGTCGCCCGCGTAGATGTGCTCCGAACTCAGAACCAAGTCGACTGCAATTCTGAGCCATTAGCAGTTGCACTCCTCACTTGTCCCCCACTTACATATCATCAGCACTAGTTTGATCACATGGACACTGTTGAATTGCGCTGCCTCGAACCGGTTGAGGGAAAACACGGCAATTCGCTCCCCGTTCTGAGTCATTGAGGGCATGTAGGCAATGTTTCTGCAAAGTGGGGATTGGTTAGTGCGGGTTTATCGGGTTGCTGGCACTGCTTACACCACGCTCATCGCCTGTTCGATTTCCTGGGAAAACGGGGAGCGGTTTTGGAAAAACTCTGGATAAATGTGTCGGGCGGCTAGTTGCTGCTCCAGCTTCCGCTTCGTCCTGTCCAGCACGTGCTTATTGGCTCTGAGGACATTGCGAACCAGCTTGGCATCTGCGGGTCCAACAAGCACTCATAAGTCGCTAGTGGCAATTTTCAAAACTCACCGATCTTTTGAGGAAAATGCCTCTGATAGCTGATCCATTGCTGCATGTGGCGTTCATTGTGTCTTAACTTGTCCTCGCATTCCTCATTGATGTTCCTCCGGATGGTGCGCAGTTGTGCGCAAGTGGGCGCGTTGAGGAGAGTGTTTAGGGAGTTTTTCATTACCTGAAGAGCAGTTGCCTGAACTGTCGCCTGATTGAGTGCGTTTACTCACCATTTTATTTTTTTAAAACCTCCACGGAACAAACAAGCCACTAGCAGCTAAAGAAGCCGGAACGAAATGCCCGAAACCTTCAACTAATGCGTGTTTTATACCGAGCAGGAAGCAACGGAAAATCGCCAAAAGCGGCTTCTCAGGCGAACCTTGGCAGGCTTTAAACGCCGCTAATTCTACTGCAACCAATAATTTATAAAAGCGAAGGCGCGAAGACAATTGTTAAGGTTGTTTACACCTCTCGAATTCTTTCGTTTT